TGGGCGCGAGTATAAATAATTTCAAATTTATTCACATACATGAAATTTGATTAGTAAGTTTGTTTATTATACTGCCTCTGTGCCCCATAGATGGACGTATACACATATGAAAGTACGTAATTACATCCATACATAAACGCTTACATATTGCATACATACATACATACGCAAGCATACATACATATCCAAGTACAAAACATGTTCCATTTGACCTTAACGAGTTTATTCAACTGCTTTGCTGACCCATTTAGTGAGACTGCGCAAAACGACTGCGAACATAATTTGCTTTTCCTTTCGCTATTGTTATTTTTATTCTTATTATTATTGTTAATGCTACTGCTGCTGCTGATATTACATGTGGACCTAATCCTTAAATTTCAATTTTCGAATTAATATTTTCTTTTATTCTTCACTTTTTCTTCGAGTTTTTCTCTCTGAGCATTTCTTATTAAGGGCTTACAACAAACCTTATACTGATATAGAAAATATTATACCTGGGCATGTGTGGATGTGTTGGTTCAGTGAAGTGTACATTTGATTTAAGTAAACCACATATTATACAAACTAAAGTGCATTGAATTGTGTGCCACTTATGCACTCACACAGCTGTGGGGACACATAAATATGCACACATTCACAAATGCTTTTTTAACTCATGACATTTTCTACACGTCCATATACACAAATGTATATATAGGTTTGCACTTACATGCATACATACGTACAAACGTACGTATAAATATTTTAATATTGTGATAATATTTTCAACAAATAATTTTAATTTACATTTAACACAGCTCGTCAGTTGGTCGCATGCATACGTATAGAAGTCTTACGGAATGTGAACGTCACCTACAACAATGAAAAGCACAACTAAAACTTATGTATGTGCAAATGTTAAATAAAAAAAGTATATGTATTATGTGTGTGTTTGCATACATTTAAGCCTGTGTATGTGTCATTTTGTTTTGTTTCGTAGCCATTGGTTATGTCGTTGAACTGTTTTCAGTACAATGACACAGATATATTCCGTGCATGCAGTGTGTATGCAACGGCCAGCAAACAATATGACATTGTAAATTGTGTTTAATTTAAATCAATCGTTTCTTTCTACTCTTCTTTTTGTATTCGCTCAGCACAAAATTACATTTTATTAGTTTTCAATGAAGCATCATCATCATAGAAGAATAGAAGCGAACGTCATCCAGTTTTCTTTATATTAATCGCACGGTTATTTAGTTAAAAGCTGCATTTTTTTTTTTTTTTAATCAATTATCTATTCTCAAGTCATACAAATTATCCAAAACTTTATTATATTTGTTATTCGAAATATGGAACAATTGTAGAATAATAGATTCATTTATTTTAGAAGAAGAGCTTTTTATTATCATTTTATCAATTATTCCTGAACTCTGTCTTATCTGAAAAAAAAGATTTAGTTTTGCTTTTTAAGAATAGAAAAAAGTACGATTAATTTGTTATATTCTTAAATTTTTATTTTAGCCCGATAACGACGATCGTGTTCTTCCGCATAAATTCTCTATCATCCTTACTTTGAACTATAGAAGAATCGAAACTCCACTGAAGATCTACTGAATATCTATTAAAGACCTTTACATAGTAATAGTTTCAGTGTCTGCATATATTGTCCTTCGCATACTTTGTTTTGACAGTAGGTTTTCTTCTAGCTATAATTTAGATGTATGTGCACATGTTTGTGCAGAAGTATGTCTCGTTTACAGCGCTGTTATTTTGTTTTTGAAGAAAAGTATATTTTTCTCTGCAAAGATATATTTGTAAAAAAGAAAATAAATAAATAAAAAAAAAGCGCACATGAGTCGCAGGTGTAAAAAATTCGGACGGTCACCTAAAATCGCCTTCTTGAATAAGCTTTTTTGATAGTGGGTTAGAAAAAAATAATATATATGCAAAGTTGCTTCGTAAGATGAAGATAAAATTTATCTATGTATACAAATTTATATATGTACATATTAATATAAAAATATATTTAATATTAATCCAAAAAGTCCGAAACGTTCAAAAAGACAAACAGAAGCCGCATGCTCTTACCAAAGTCAAGATAACATTACCATTATAAGACATAAAAAGTCCAATCTCGAATATTATATACTATATCTCTTTCAGGATAAAATCGTGAAAATATGTTACGAAGATCATCTGTAAATTGTAAAAATGTTAATGAACCATAAATTTAGTTATTGGTTTTTTTTTTTATTTTCTGCAAATTAATTCAGATTTTGTTTAGTGTAGCAAACTACCTTGACTTAAAAAAGTACAGAAGATATTTTAATTTTGAAACAAATACACAACCAAATGGTTATATAAAAAAGCAAATTTTATATAGAACGAGGTAAAATGATAGATAGAGAAGTGAGTACAGGAGGTAGTTGACGGAAAATTCACCTTCCATACGCTAACTATGAATATCACAGTACAGCCGAGTTGGCAATAGTTGTATCAATGTATCCTTGAAACTTTTTGGACACGAGTCAAAGTGTCATTGGCCCCTCTACGTTATGTTTAACTTGAGATTCAAGGTTTTAAGGACATAAAAATATATGAACCCCCCCTTCCCCCACAGACACTAGCTCCAACTCCATGCAAGTTTAAATTAGTTTTGCTATTTTTTCGCATTTTATTTAATTAATGACATTTGGATGTATTTTTCTTATTCGTGGTTTCTTTTTGCTATTCAAATACTTTATAGTTATAGCTTTTTTTGTGTTTATATATAATGTATATTATTACAATATATGTTCTCAATAATTTGTATAAAAATTCCAAACATCTATGCTAGCACACGAGCGCGTACATTATTTCTTAATTAAATAAAAGCTTCGGACGCGTTATGCGTTACGATTGTTGATAATAGAAATCATATTCGAATTTTAACTTTTTACATCAAAACAGCCGAAGCTTTTCATTAAAAAGTATTACACTGAACTTTAAGCAAAACTGAGAAAAAACTACCAAATTCTCTCGTTTTTGATTACGAATAGTAAAGCACAACAAAGAATCTTGAAATGTATGTTTTTTTTTTATAAAACAAGAAATGTGATGCTAAACGCTTTCAGATCGAACTTTGGGAAAAGTATTCGTTTAAGTTGTTGTCATACAAAAATTGCACGCGCCACAAACCATTTGCAACCATATCCGATGTTACACTTAAATAAAGCTTTTTTAGCCCTTTACGTATTTAGTATATAGTAACTTAACAATGAATTTGTAACGTATAGCAATCCCTCTCTCTCTTCTTCTCTCCCTTTCATAGATCTGAACATTAAATGAAACCCTAATTAATTGAAAAACATGTGGATTCAAAAACGAATTAACACTTAACGAGCTACTAGATATTACATAGTCTTGACGATCTTCTTAAAAAAAACAATAATTAAAAATCTCTTTGACTCTATATGAAACATGTTCAAAATATGTTGGAAAAAAAACCAAATTTTTTTATAGTTCTGTCGACTTTTAAGAGATATTCGAAAATATTGTATTATTCGAAAGTGTGAACAATTTCTACGATCCCGTGACTTGCATTCGGAAAAGAACAATCCACAGAAATAACAAACGAAATCTAGGAACTTATTGTTGTTATAAAAGAAAAAATTGATTGTAGGGAAAAAATTAGACCTTCAGTCAATGAGGGTATGAAAGTCGTACAAAAAAATTAAATCCGCTGCAATGTTATTCTAATGCTAGGTGTGGCAAATTCGTCTTCAGCTTAAAAAATATTTCCTCTCTCTCTCGTTAATTTTCACGATTCTTATAGGCTGAGCTTTTTTTTTTATGTTTGATGGAGCAACTAGTAGAGGTTGTGAATTTTAGCGGTAATATAACTTCTAATAATTATTCTAATATGTGACTGTGTGAACAGCATATGCTATGCTTGTTTTTTTATTCTACATTCGCAAGGCGCCGCGTGAGTAAGTTCAACGGAAAAATCAGAGTATTTCAAATTACTTTCAGCCAAAATTATTTTGGCGGTAAAGCACAAAAGAAAATTTTATATATTTCTTTGAAATTAATCAAGTTAACCAAGTGTCATATTAGCATTAGAGTTATTGAAATAAATAAATATAAAAAAATTGAAACAAAAAATTACCCAGACGAGCTGCTGAGTGTTAAGAACAACAATTAGAACTAGAGGAGAAAAAAAAAGGAAAAACTATTAAAAACTCTTTCGAAATTATTAATACAATTAAAAAAAAAAAAAAAAGAAAGGAAAAAAAAAACACGATACTTTATTAATGTAAAATAGAATATTTGAAAAACTATAAATTAAATTCGAATTAGACAGCATGCGAAAGTTTGTTGAGGAGAGTTTTTAGTTAATATCTGATAACAAGCCAGCGCATATTATTAATTTACTACGAAATAGTATATGAAACACAGAAACACATACGTTCGTAGTTAATTTTCAAATGTTGACTATGTCTGTTATTAAACTGATCGCTAGTTGAGGAAAATGCATAAGAATTTAATGAAAAATACAACTCGTAAAAAACATTTTCCAACCGTTAATTAAAAACTAAATATTGTGATATATATAATTAAAGAAAAGTAAATTTAAACTTAGGGAAATTTTATTTTGAAACTTAGTTCAATTGTTTAATCACAAATTCATTCGGTGCCATTGTCTAAATAATCAAATAGATGTATAACTAAGTAAATAACAAATAAAAGGAAGAGGAACAAAGAAAAACATTCGCTTTAGCGTATAGTGCGTTTCAGGTATAAACATTTAATGTGTTAAAATATATCCAAATAACGTTCAAGTTCAAATTATATATATATATATATA